TCATTCAACTTACAGGACACTATGTGCCCTTAGGCGACGTGGACGGTGTTTACATAGCTCCGAGTAATACGTGATTTCTAACTTGACGGAGGAACAAGGTTGATACGATCGTCTAATGGTGTGTTTACGTCTGCCAATTGATGTAGCTGATTAGTTATTGTGCAAAAGAAATATTCCACTGCATTCGGAAAATTCTTTCTGTGACAAGTGAACCGTGAACTGTAAACACGTACATGTACATGTAAAGCGAGGCACGCGCCAATTAGAACTGTAGTTTCTCGCACATATATATGTATATTTGTCTGACAAGCATTCAGCAACTACGACAAGAGCACTATCATCTGCGTCTACTACCTCTCCTATTTGTAGAGACAATAAAAGGTTATCGTCTCCATTATTCGACATCGTGTTTAAGACATCATAAACGATGGACACTAACCTCCCCCCCACCCCCGATCCCTCTTCCGGGTGTACAGCATCTCCAATCGGGCTTTTCCCAGCAATCCTTTATTCTTCCTACTGTTTTCAACCAGCTGATCCCTAGGAAGCCTCTCTTTCTGATATCGACGTCCAGAGAATAATCATGGCAGTACATGGCAACCGATATGCAAGTTGTTCAGAACAACATTCAACACAGCGTACATCAGCAAATCGCCCTCTCCTAGAGAAAGTTTTCCGAGAGCCGAAAACGATGATCTTTGCCATCAGATAAATTAGTTGGAACAGTATGGTATGATAACTCTTGTGATATTTTCCGGCTTTCCCGAGCAGGAGAACGAAAACACAATGGCAAGGATCCTGCAAGCAGCCCAAGAATGCAACGTAGAACGGTCAAATATACTCGGCAAGCCAGACAACAGGAGTGAGATGGCTCGACAGATCATCGTGCGTCTGCATCGGTCGACGAAAAGTTCAAACTTCTTATGTCCAGCCGTAAATTCTGCGACATCGACAGACATAAGCATATTTCCGTGAACGAGGACCTGACGAAATTCCGCGGAAATTTTTCATACTACGCAGGGTGTCTCGTTAAATCTAAGAAAATTCTACAGACTTGGACCACGAACGGTAAAGTGTTGATCAAAGATAAAACGTATAAAGTTCATCAGATCCGACGGAAATCTGAACTTGAGCTCTTCAGGCATGTGGTGATGGTTTCTTTGTTCGTGTCGGCGACGCTCGGTCGGCACGTCGTCAGTAACGGTCTTTTTCATTCCATTGCAGTCCACATCTACCAGTAAAACCTTGCTCTTTTTGTGTTATGCTGAATGTCCAATTTTGTTACTGTCAATGATCTTGATTCGTGATTAATATTTTTTATTTCGCTGTCTAACTATGCTACAGCTAATTATCTTGATTCGCCATCTTGTTCTGTTCTATTCTTGTTATGCCCATTGTCCAACTATGGCAAAATCAATTATCTTGATTCATATTTATTACTGTTCTGCTTTTGTTGTGCTTAATGCTCAATTATACTTCTGCAAACTATCAAGACTGTGTTCTCTTGTTTGCCCTATTTCTTTTAATATGCTTGGTATTCATTCGTGGTATTGTTAAATATCATAGTTGTATTCCTTTGAAAGCCCTATTTTTGTTATGCTTATTTTCCAACTTTGTCACTGTCAAATATCTCTATGCGTTTTAATATTTTGCCTACTTTGGTTGTGCTTACTATTTATTCATGCTCGTGTCAATTATCTCAATTGTATTAATATGTTTGCCTTATTTGTGCTACGGTTAGAGACTACTCTTGTGTAGATAACTTGTGAAATATTTGCAAGCGAATACATTTTATGAAATGTTAGTTTGTATCTTCTGTTGATACCTAATTCACAATGGTGAAAATTAATGTATATACAGTATATCCATCGTTATCTCAGTGCATAATTACGCATTGCACATACATACTTCTAGAGCAAAAACCAACGTTCTATCTTCACCTCTAATTTCAGAATGTAACCGTATTAAGGCACGTGCCTAGTAGATTCAAACTATACAGAAACTGGCTGACCTCCACTTAACCGAAGACGCACACACCAGAAGATAAACCAATTTCACGAAATGGTTCATGGATAAGTACCCCAATACCTCCAAGATCTGCTTCCTGCACGTAACAACTTGACACACAGTCATAACACTCGCACTACTTCCGTTCTATATCCTGTCATTCAAGCTTATATAAAAAGTCTGTTTTGTCTACTTTAATTTGTCCATGGAATAAGTTGCCAAATCGTATAAAATGAGATCTATCAATAGGTAGACTCAAAACACATCTAAACGAGCGTAACATTAAAGTGCCACCTTTTTGTGATACTGTTAGCAGAATGGGTCAGATTCTCCACGCCAGATTACTAATGGAATGGAGTTCCCTCAATTTTTTCTTGTTTAAAAAAACCGCCAATAGTCGATTATGTCTATGTAATGATGGGATCGAAACAAATGAACATTTTTGTTGTATTGTCGTCACTTCGTCCAATTGCGCGTATGTATCTTTAGTGAGTTAACTTGCCAGATTTTAACGCAATTACCACTCGTTGATAGCGAGGAATTGTCTGTAGATGAAAACAATAGGATCTTCCCACGTGTACAAAACTTTATCATAAGTTCCAAGAGATTTGATTGATGCTCTCTTACTTTTGATTTGAGTTCTGTAGTATTGTCATTACACTTTTCACATTCTCTCAGTCTCTAAACTTCTGCAGTTTATGTCTGTGTGCATTGACGTTCTAAAACTTTAATCTTTTGGCATGACGGGAAACTCCTCTCCCTCCTCCCCAACCTAACCTATCAATTTCTTTTCCAGTTCTCCTCATTCCTAATTAGCCATTATAATATTTGCTGAGTCTAGACTGCTTACGCAGTGTCTCGTCATATTTAATGAGTGTTTCAACACTTGTTTCCGAATCTAATTCATTTGATATGTTTTGATGGCTACTGTTCACGTCTTAGGTTATGAATGAAGTGAATAAAGCTTATATCAACTTACAGGAATGTATTAACTACAATATAGAAACTAGTTTAAATGTGTATTTTGCCTTTCTGGACAATTATAGGGCGTTTGACACTGTGTGGCATGCGGGTTTGCTGTTTAAAATAAATGAAATGGGGCTGGGCGGAAAGATATGGATTATTCTTAAAGAAACGTATACCAATGTAGAAAGTAATATCTTGTTTGATAATTTAACTTCAAAGAGTGTAAAGATGGAGAGAGGGATTTTACACGAGGGATCTCTGTCTGCAAAAATGTACTTGATTTTCATTAACGAATTACTGAATAGAATCGAGGTGTGTGGTAAAAGGGCAGTGATAAATGGTTAAAAAGTAAATATACCGACTCAAACAGACGATAAGTGTCTCGTTAGTACGATTTTTCAAAGTTTACAAAAATTGTCAGTGTGTGTGAAAATTATAGCTGGAAACGGCGGTTTACGTTTTCTTCCACTAAAAGTAAAATTGTACTGTTTTCTGATAAACGCACTCTTCATAACGTGCAAAAGATCTACCATGATAAACATGTTTTACCAGTAGTTGATGAAATAAAACATGTTGGAATATTATTAACTTGTAAAAGGAATTCACTGGAAAGAACTACCAGAGCATGTTGTAAATAAAAAACCTGTATAATGTCTCTCCTTAGGTCTGGTGTTCACCTTAGTTCCCTCAACCCTGTAACAGTTGCTTAATTAATCAAATTTAAAATACATCCGTCTGTTTGGATGCGAACTTTGGTTTCTTTCTAAAACTGAAGTTATGATTTTAGAGAAAGCACAAAATGTTATAGTAAGATCCATTCAAGGTTTGAAAAAAGAACTAGAACTGACATGTGTGTGTCATTGCTTGGCTGAACTAGCATTGAATCCTATATCAGCATCAAGAAATGATTATTTCTAGGACGAATTTGTAATATAGATTGTAAAATCTGAGTATACAGAATATCTATCATTAGATTCTGTATGCTTGAAATGAATATTGAAAAACAACAGGGATTTATACCCGATACTATATATATATCTTGAGGAAGTACTCATTGTTGATACTTTTGTTGACTGTATGAAGTTAGGTCATTTCTAGGAAAATTACAATGGAAAAAGTCGTTTATAACAGTGTATATAGTACAGGATAAAATGCATGGTCAGAGAGTATGTCAAATGATAACGAGTTTTTTTTCAGATTTAAATTTATCAACTTAAGCTTTAAACACATCACTTGTGGAATTTAGCAGCAAGTATCCTCAATATCATAAATATATACAGTGCATTTTAAAAGAATGTGTAAGCTCGCGCATGTTGACAAGTGAGGAATTAAGTGTCGAGAGAGAGGGAAAGAAAGAGAGAAGATTCTGTGATTGGAGACGATGTAAGAATTATTAAATTCATATTTGCATTTCATTTCACATCTCAAACAACCAACGATTTCATTGTTTCCTTTCCTTTCCAAACAAAAACAGAAAAAAAATACCGTGTGATCTCCCTTCAATAAAAGAACAAACTTTTTTTTATGCTAACAGAATTTACACTGGATGTTTAACACTAGGGACAATTATCTAGTGTCTTTCGATCACTTTGGATTTGCCTCTGTGTGTAAATATCATATCCATATTATGCCATTGCGGTATATCAATATGTTTACATCCAAGCCATAATTAGCAGCTTCTGTTTCTGTTACATCAGCTCCGTGTTTACGACATCTGATTGGTTACATGAAAACCGCGTTTTCTCTTGAGTTAATGGTTTCATAAATACCGAAATAAGCGGCCTCTTAATGATTTAGGCATAACCGCGATTAGCAGCAACTGTTTGGTGACACCAGAGCCTCGATTAGCCGATCTTCATAAGAGTAGGGAAGAGCTCCTGATGATGTTTTCAATGAAAGCTGACATTTAATGCGTTTTAGGTCTATCTTTGAACCCCTTTCCACGCAGATAGCCACCAATGAAGTTTGTAAATTTATTTTGTATGAAATTGTACTTACTACAGTCGAAAAAAATACGAAATGATTCATTATTGTGTACTCACCATCACGTCGCACTGAATCCGCTGAGATTCCGATGGAATTCGTTGAGACGTTTCCATGCGTTGTCTTCTTAAACGCAAACCATTAAATGCACGGGAACTTCTGTTAAAGGTAGAACTTCTTGTTGTAATTTCGGGTATTTCACTGTTCCGTAAAGTATCTGGAGATTGCCTCAAATTTGAAGTCCTGCCCAAGTCTCGAGTTCTGTCAATAACACTTGTTCTACTCTGCCCCCGAGTTCTCCGAATATTTCTAGTCATATCCCGCCCTCGAGATATTCCAACTCCCCGAGCTCTTCCCCGCCCCCGAGTTCTTTCGATGTTTCCAGTTCTTTCCCCCTCTGGAGGTGTCACATTATCTCGATTTCTGTTTCGAGTTCCACGACCATTTCCAGTTCTGTCTTGCTCTCGAGTTACATTGCTCTCACGATCTCTACCAAGACCTCGAGCAACTCCAGAAGCTCTCGACCTCATAAGCTGGCGAGATTGTTCACGAACTCGAGCTCTTTCTTCAGATCTTACTCGTGAAATGGCAACACCTCGAGATCCAAAAGTCTGCTCCGCTGTACGTTCATTGTTTCGAGATCGAATAGAGGACCTATTCCGCTGACGATTTAATCTGTTTTCTGATATTCGCGTTTCATTACGAGCCTGTCCTAAATTGCCAAATCTTCTGCGAGTTGGAAGTTGGCTATTATTGTTTGTTCGACTAACCCGTCTTCCGTCTCGGGCACGCGCGTCGTTATCTTGAATGTTCATTCGAGATGTCGATGTAGATTCATCTGTCTGTAATTCGTTAAACATCCTTTGAACAACAGGTCTTGGTAAGGATCTCAAAATTGTCATAAGACCTTGAATGGCTCCTTGTCGTTGTTGACTAGTCAGTCCATTTGTTCTTGGTTCAATATTCTGTTCCCTTCCTAAAACTCTTTGAGATATTGACGGCAATATAAGTGATATAAACACTAGAAAACGCCACAGTCGGGTTTCCATGATATAAATAAATTAAAAATACTTGTGTGAAGAATAATAGAATATTAATACAACTGACTGCCGATTCCGGAACTTCCTCCTCAAACGAACCAGTCTTTTAAAGCACAAACACATAATCCAGAAAATCTTGTTGTTCAGGACGAAACAATGTTAAAGCAACATTTCACGGATAACTGTTTTCAAACCACTTGTCATGCTTATTTCCAAAGTTCAACATATTAATTCCAAACAGCGCAGAATATACGGTATTACAGAAGTATTCTGACAGCTTTCGTGTATGTTTACTTCATAAACACTATTGATGTTGTATTGTGATAAACACATACAAATGTACATCCATTCAGAAAGTATATACTACTGGAAACACGAATGATATTTTTTTCTATATATAGGTCAGGGTTATCATAATTTATCTCCTGTCATCAAACTGTCAATAAGCGCGTGTATTTGTCCCGAAGCCTTCGGTTCGACATGATCAGGTGACCGGTATGATCACTAAAGCTCGACAAAATCATCACCATCTATTTTTTGACACCAATGGAAAAAAAGTGAAAAAAAAAGAATAAAATGCACTGTTATTTTGTATGATTTATCGATATTGTAATGGCAATGGATTGATAAAAAGACAACATTGTCTTATTGTCTTGTGTATGATACACATGTTATACACATGAATTACAGACAGACTTCTGTGTTGTTTTATATCCTGTGTATGTGCCATTCTCCAATACGATATTTTGGGTAACAGTATAAAAGGTATCAATGTTAATTACTTTACTATTATTCTCTTTCAGTATTCAGATTATGCTTCGTTAATACTTACCGGATCAAAAATATCTTTATTGCAATCGAGTTTGGAACTGAATTTAGTTGCTCAAATTTCGAAGTTAAAATCAATAAAAACAAAACTCAGATAATAAAGAAAGTCAACATAATCATAATCCAAACTCAAAGTCAATGAAGCTAAGGCAAAACATGAACAAAAGTAAGATTTACAGAAAAAGTATAATGATAATAAGACCAGATGTTGCGGAAGAATATGTGTCCTCTGCTTTATCGACGACACATGATTTACATGAGGTCCTAAATTGAACTTTGATAAAATATTAAGAATGTTTAATTACGTGTTCATTTCATGACCTAATCCAAGCTTTAATTTTCGTAATATATTAAAGTCTAAATTCTACTTTATATAACTTTATTTGGAATGAAAAAAACAGACCAGGTAGAAAGAAAAAGTGCATCTGTAGGAACAAATCATTTATATAAATCTAATCAAATCAATGTTGGGTAGGAGGGCTAGCAATTTAGGGGAGGTGGGCTAGCTTGAGTAGGTTATTAAAATTAAGATAATTTTCATGGTCAATGTCATCCAAGTTCTTGGCACAAACAAACCCCTTTTATGTTTTTGGTCGCTTACTTTATTTGAGCCATTGTTCCCCCTGGTTTGATAAGGCATTACCAAGGGGCCTTTCGTTTATGCAATTGTAACGGACAAACCGATCGAACTAAACATGAAATACCCGGTTCGTTTTCGTTCCGAATCTTCTTTAGTGTCTAGTATGGCACGCTTTGATTGATTGGTACAAGCCGGAAAAAAGATGGCGGCTCAGATTGTAAAGAAATCTTATGTTATTTGGAAATTCGTAGAATTTGGCAAGATTGAATTATTTCCAATAGAAAATAAACAAATGGTGTTGAAATATGTGATTTCTCTATATAAACTATATCAAACTTTACCCCTCCCCTGGGGGAAATGTGAGACCCTGGGATCATGAAATTTACCGAAGATTTGAGAAGTAGATTTTTAAAAACAATTTCTGTCTATTTGACCCATTTTTAATCGCCTCCGAGTCAGCCGAGGTCATGAACATCACATCAAAATGTCATCTTAAACTAATCATAAAATTCACTAGTTAGACTCACGTCAGAGTTTAAAAAATCTTTAAGAAAACACATCATGATATAACATATCCCAATATTCTAATAGACCAATTAAAAGCTATGATTTAATCTGACATAAAGGACTGCTATCGCCACTTTAAGAAATTAACATCATTGGTAACCGTTGGTAACATCTTAAGTCATTACACATTTGTTTAAAGAAATATATATTTTGGTAAAGATAAACAACTCGAATTCAGAAGAAAAATAAGTAAATAACGTAGTACTTTAATGTAGTGTTATTTCCCCTGCCTTATCTAACGGCTTCATAAACATACTTAATCAACATCTAAAATATACCTGCATGTAGAGTACCAAATACGTTGATCACAAACAACGGCAGTACCATTCAGGAAAACGATTACACTGATAAATGAGGTTTCAAAATCTCAAAGAAAAAAAAGTACTCATATTTCGATAGATAGTCAATCGTACTTACAACCTTTAGAAACCGGAAACGAGACATGTTACTCTAATTTCAATATCATGTTCCCTACACATATTGGATGAACAGAGAAACATTGAAGCATGTGCATGCATTCCATTTCATATGAATATCCCATGTAAGGAAATATTAGACAATTTCACCAGGGAATATTTAGGTCATAACGTCACAGAGGTAGACGTAGATCATAACAGTGTGAACCTAAGTGTAGCTGAATGTTGTCCAGTGATGTAAATTAAAGCGACGAATCTAAATTAAGGCATGAAGCCTGCATGTTGATGAATAGTTAGAAAAATTTCAGTTTTGTAGCTTCTACTTGTTAACCACATATCTACATCTTTACATAAGTGACTTAGCTGAATAGAATGTCAGTCTTAATATTTCTTTGTTTTGTGATATTCACATCAGTAATGGGAACACCTTTTCATCAACACAGTATTTGTAAGACGAATATTTATTATAGTTAGTACTGGTAACCCTTTATTATCTATCACTGTTACGTCCCCACTGTTCCGGAAGAACTGTTTAGTGCCATAGTCAATTCTAGCATGTTCACCGGAAACATTCCGGTTGAAGGAGATAAGTGGTCGTGACAGGACACTAATAAGTTAATTGGACTCTGAATTCGCCTGTATAAGGCAGCAAATGGCCAGACCTATATAAATAAATGTACTCCTGACTCTCTTTCAATAAGATTTTACAAAATGATTAGTGATGGCTTAACGTTAAATTCAGCTAACATGTGATAGTGATCAGAGCCTAGTGTGTTGTTTTACTTTGGCCTTGTGTTGAGTGCGGAAGCTACAGTAGTTTCGGACATCTAGTTTCCATGTGTTATATTTATTTACTGTATATTTACACCACAATTGAAAGGTGTACGTAATCTACCACTCGTTACCAAAGTCTACTGCACACCTAAACCTCTTTCATGGGTAATCATGATGACATGTACATGTAAAAGGGAGATAATCATTAAGTCACATTTTAGTAATTGATACATTAAGCGATGACCAGATTTACACTCTATATACAAGTTCATGTATAACAACGCTATCGCAGTTTCTTAACATTCACAAAGCACAATTTTAATATTTCCTTGTAACAGAGTATAAACCCTCCTCTTTTTCTGGAAAAGTATGTTAAACCCAGAAGCTAGTTCCTCATTCAACAAACGACATTCAAACACAATGATTGAAAGAGACACAAAATAAAGCATTTGGATTACTTAGATTGAAAATACTCACTATTTCATTCCATTTCATACTATCTAATTTAGAATGTACCACTTACTGTAGGTTTTTATTTTCTTTTTTTTTCTCACTTTTCTCTTACTACGTAACATATTTTCTCCCATTGTACCTAATATAGCTGACTGTTACTAATACTTAGCCAAACGTTTGTGGTACCGAGAAAGACTCACTCATACAAACACAGGTCAATCATACAGAAAACAATGAACATCTGTGATATTGTTGACAAGGTGAGTTTTTTTTCACTCCTTATCATGGTTTGGTGTGAGAAGTGCGCAGTAAGTCAGTGTTCATACGTGATTCCACCTGGCCAATCATATCTACATGTAACAACAGCCTTCATTCTCGACGGATGTTCACACATTTTAAGGCGACTCAGATCACGCACATTATCTGTCAATATACTCATCAGATGATCACTTTCTGGACAATTGCCTTAGGTATATAACGTGTATATTGTTATTATCTCTCTCTATCTCTCTCTCTCTCCCTCTCTATCTGCTTCTTCTCTCCCTCTATCTTTCTCTCTCTCTGCTCCTTTTCTCTCTCTATCTCTCATTCACTATCTCCCTCTCTCTGTCTGCTCTTTCTCTTATTATAATAAATTAGCAATTCTTATTCGGATCTAGTATATGAATGTGTTCAAAGCAATTCGCATATTATTTTCAAAATACTGCTGAGAAAACTGAAATCATCCTAGTGCAAAAAAGTGTAAATTGTTTACAACAAATTTCGGGAATGGATTATATATTTGTGTGCGATGTGAAATTTTGGTAAGATATGATGGGGACGTGATGGATATTTGGGGCCATACGGTTGGGGCGTTATGGAACAAATTCCGATTGACCAAGTGACATAAGCAGCATGGACGTGGGTGGTAAATCAGTCGCAACTTACCCCCATAAATATTACAAAATCTGATTCTCATTTGCCTTGATTATTATTAAAACACGTGCAAAGCCATATTTGGGAGCAGTTGTAACTAGCTATAAATGAGTTATTATACGTATCATAATATGTCAGGTTTCCAGTAGGGACAAATGTTTCACTTAATAAACATAATTTTAGATAATAAGCCGGTGTTCTTTGACATGTTTAACCACCACAAGCAATGAGAATTGAAGTTTAGTTGAAAATTTGCCATATATTCGACTGTTTATGCTGAAACTGCATTGTTATCATATAGTAGCGCTAACATTATGATTTTAACAATTAACACCACACATAAGATAAGATAGAAGGATTAGAAGAGAAAAGGAGATAATACTGATTTTACATCACTGCATTGCCGACTACAAAAAGTTAAGAAAAAAGGAAGTATTAAAACGCTTTGTTTGTTTTATAAACTTTTGAACAGATCT